ATCATGAGTCAGATAGGGTTTGGTTTGTGCTGTGTGGGTTTGTGTGAATAGAATTTGAGTTGAATGCATCCTCCAGTCTCAGACCTTGGGGAGGCAGTTGTCGGAAATGCCTGCGAGTCTTTCTTTGGTTAGCCTGACTTCCTCTGCTAATATTAAGGTTTATATCACTGTGGAGCTAGTGCTTTCAGAAATACAGTTTTATATTCAAACCTACGTTTGTAGTAGAGGTGGGCAGTACCACAAAAAACATATGACGATATGAGTAATTCTAGATCACAGCAACTGTATATATATATATATATATATCACATAATAGTTATTTTTGCTGAGATACAATGGATGGGATTGTTTCGATTTAAATGACCATGAGTTCATACCTACTGTATTTTTTGGATAGTCCAGTGATTAAATACCAAATGAAAGGTACTTTTCTTTTTAACTCAAGTGTTACATAATGTAACCACTGACCATATAACATATTAAAGTTATAAATATGATCACCCACAGTTCACCCATTTACTCACCTTTAGGTCATTTGAAACATGTAGGCAATTTTTTGATGGATTCTTTTAGGGATGGGCATTTTCCAAAAAAATTACATTCGAATATTTGGGCTCATAAAAAAACGAATATTCGAATATTCGTTTATTTAAATTAGGTTTAATGAGAAAGACGTTATTTTTAATTATCAAGTTTTTGTCACGATTTCTGAACAAGCTTATGATTAGCCGTTACACAACAATGTTCTACAACAACGTTACGTTATATCACAAGGTTTTATTTTGGTTGAAAACATGTGTAAACAAAAAAAAAACATAAAAAAAGATTCCTTCAAGATCAAGCAGAGCAAACGGAGAAATCAAGCAGACTGTGCCAATTACAGTACAGAACGTAGGCTACATATTCTCGAGTCGGCCTATATTTATTGTGTTTACATTGTTTCACGTATTAATTCTGAGAAACAATAATATCCACATGCTCGGGTGAAAGTTTGTTCCTCAGTCTGATTCTTTATGTATTTGGCATCAGTGCAAAGCCAGTTTTGGAACCATCGAGTTAAAAGCAAAAAACAGTCAAAGCAATATTATAAAGTATAGTTCGAACTCTAAATTCTGATTGGATGAGCCATATTCAAAGTTACTGTAAAGAGCATCATTTTTCAGCATCATTACTCCAGTCTTCAGTGTCACACGATCCTTCAGAAATCATTCTAATATGTTGATTTGCTGTTAAAGAAACATTTATTATAATAAACTCCACCTCATATTTCAGTCCATCATAAGTTCTTCCTAGTTATGTTCTTCCTTTCTGTCATTGCATGATGTGTGGGGATGAGCAATGATAATTGTAAAATTGTAAATATAAAATTTTACAATTTCAAGTAATATATGTAATAATTTTAAACACTAAAACAATAATGGTAAACGCAAAATGGTTAAATAAAAATGACTTTGTAATTTCTGGTTTGAATTGTAATTTCATTTATAATAAATTTAATTGTACATTATTTGATCCTAGACATTGCATTTTTATGAATTGTTTCTATTAACCTTTGTGTGCTTCTAGTTATAAATTTAATTAACATTGGAAATTATTGCTGAAAGGTCCAAACTGTTTGAAATTTCCACATTTCTAAATTTCAAAGCTAAACATTTTACAAAAACTTCAAATAAAAAAGTGTTTCTACTCCATCACAGTTATTCACCTGAGACTGCCATCTTATTCCAGTATTGCCCTCATTTCACTCAGTCTTTGAATAATGACCGTGTGTCCGAAGCAATATGTCAAAGATGAGAAAATGATCTTTTGTTTGCCATCCCCATTGCAGACCTCACATCCATCTTTGCTTTTCAAAAACTGCTCTCCTAAACCAACATAAACACATTGAGTTTATGCATAACCCCCTTGACCCAACAACCCTTGCTCTTTTCTCATATACAGTATGTGTCATAAGATGAAAACACTCTCTCACTATGTTGTGACAGTCCTGTGAGAGACAGAAAATATGGGCTCCGTTCACTCTGAGAGGAACGGCTAATTATGTCTCACGATCGCCGGCAAGGTTGAAGAGGCATAAAAGGATTGACACTCAAAGAGTGACGTCAATACGAACCCTTTTCAGCACGCTGGCCTTCCCACAATACACCACTTGTACTGTTTTTCTCTTCAAATCAGCTGGAGGTCTTAAGCAGCCATTACCTCAGATTGAGCTGTATTGGATTTTTGCCTCGCTCAATCATTCGGGAGCCTTTTTTTGCCATTGGATCACAGACTATTTTAGGGCAGGCAGTAAAATCTGATTTTGTGTGCGAGTGTGTGTTTCTTGGTTTCTGTGTTTAGACCTTTAGTTTGCTATTAAATCATTAAATCATGAACAGAGGTTGTGCCGCGCATCCTCCGACTGATTTTACTTGCCTTTCAAGTCGTTCAGGGCATTGCTGCTAATGGTAAAGCTTCATAATCTGCCTCAGTCTTCATTTTGGTGTTTGGTTGTAATTGTGGGTAAAAAATCAAAAGAGAGAAGCATTGTTATGCATAGACTATCTGTTGCTGCAGTTGTAATGATACATTTTAACAATTTTGGCCCTACTATACTTAGTAGTGCTCAAAAATCAACAGTTTTTTGCTTAATTTCCCCTTTTCTTATAAGATACTAATTGACAATCTTTGTGTTAGTCAAACTACAGCGATAAAAACCACATATTATTGCCGATAACTGACACTTGTATAAAGCAACTACTGTTCAAATAAGGCCTAAATGCCTAATTATTTTTAGTGCGAGGGGCGGCTTGATCATATCCTGTCTCATCTTTTATGTAAATGTGCATAAATTCGAAAATGGAGCTTTTGGTTTTGGCTTGCATAATTTCCTGATTCTGTTGAGTGAAACTACTTTTAATCAGTTCCTGTCCACTATCAATCAAAATGCCAATATGAAAACAGATAATTGATTTGCATTACCGAGAAGAAAATACACAGGAAATGTTGATTTCAAGCATTTCTCTTTGCAACATTTCCGCTGGGGATATTTAAGAAGTTTTATTAAATTCAGTTCCATATAATGCATTCATTTCCTGTCAGGAGAGGATGTTTTAAGAGAGCCTCAGGCTTGTGTCTTATCCTATGGTCATTATTTTATCTGAATTATAATCAGACATTTTGACCAGTCTCAGATCTGTAATATAATCAGTTTGCTTCATCCCTGCATGATGTAAAAGGGATATTACAGATATATTGGGTCTCATGCATGCATATGGTGTACTGTATACAACCAGTGTGCTGTTTTTTTGTTTGTTTTTTTCTTCAAAAATCTTGATACATAAAATGTAAATGTTCTTTTGTCCTCAAAAAATATGATTTATTTTTAGTATATTTATTAAAATGTATATTTAAATTTTATGTATATTTAATTTTATATTATTTTTTAGAAATTGAACAACAAAAATACCCCACAAATCTTTTCGTAAATTATTTATATGAAAATATAAAGCTATATTTCATAACAAAAACAACATAAAAGCTTGCTTTGTGCATACAATTTCTTCATGTACTCTAAAGTTTTTATAGAGTGTAAGGGTACATTTGCAGACAGTGAGGTTGCGCTCATATGTAGATGTTCCGGTCGGGTATTATGATAATTACTAACTGCGGGTATGCGCTACTGCATTTAGAATAATCCGGATTCATCAGGATATGATGTTGTGCTTTAGGGCTTCTGTTTTTAATAAATAATACATCCCCAAAAAACTAATAATAATACATTTAAAAGTTAAAATATACTATCTGTGTCACTTTCCTGGAACACTGCAGTGCAAACCAAGAAGCTTTGAAGTTTGTATTCACTTTATTGAGCCAAGAGCTCAGACTGTGATGTTTACATCCTGAATTGGTTAAATATATTTTCATTATGTGAATGTGCAGGTCAGAGTTCAACAAACCTGAATGTCGGTGCAGTATGCAGCAAAAGACAAAATGTATGCATGTGTTTGAATGGAAGTGCAATGTAATTATTTGAGGACACACCCGTTGTGAATCTGGCAGAAATTTTGAGTGAGAATATTTTCTCTGGACCATTCAAATACAATAATAACAGTAATTCAGTAATTAAGAAATATTATTACTATTCTAAGT